GTTTTTTTAATCTTACACAATTTTGTCAAACAGGTCATTTAAAACCCTACCATTAAAAATCTAGTACAACCAGATAATCTATACACGAAACTCATTAAACGTTTCTTATTCATTGTAAAATAAAACTTGGTAGCTGAAACACTTAAGGGTATAAGATAGAATAGTCATTTATGAAATATAATCGATTGTATATTGACACAAATTTAATACTAAAACAGTTCAACAAAATGATACTAAAGAAATATTATGAACGGTTTTTGAAATTGCCTTAGTCACATGTATCGAGAGTTAATAAGCATTATACAAACTCTGGTGATGCTCTATGAAATATGGTTGGAAGAAAGTTAGGGGCGGCCAAACCAAAACGTGGCATCAGTGCTTGAAGTCACTAACTTCTAGTCTGAGCCATGTTGGTAGATGCGACTACTTAGATGGGGTCCGCGTGACTATCGTAACCGATGGTTGGAGATTCTTGGTGACATGGCTCAGAATCGATCGCAATGGCGTAGGTGCATACACTCCCTGTCTTCCCTTAAACTAAGAGATTAAAATCACTTCATATCTTTCTTTCTACGAACTAATTCTTTCTTCCTGTATTATATCCTTATTGCAATCTTTCTTTTATATATTACCACCTCTGAATTAACTACTTTTATGAATCCGGTGTCCATCTTATTGTGTTAATGAGGTATGGCAACTTGGACCGATGCATAAATGTGCCTGGTCCTACGTTGTAGCTGACAGACTATGAAATATCTATTATTCATAACAAAGTTTTCTTAATGGAAATATCAGTGTAATGAAGACATAGAATCATCAAATCACAAAAAGGGAATATCTCTGAAAACAACATCAATTATAAATAAGTTAAGATTTATTCAGTTTATCATTGAATCCTTTACAACATAATTTTGAAAACTTGTCTGATTAATTATTGGATTTGTTAAAGCATTTGTATATCTGATGAATTTCAATGTATGGATCGCGTTTTGATGGAGTTTTATTCTCTGAGCTGGATGGTTTGGTCGTAGAGCTTTCATCGTTCTTTTGAACTCTACATTTCTACCTGAAGTTTGTGCTGATGATGTCGTTCAAAAGAACAATGAAAAATCCACGACCAAATCATCCAGCTCAGAGAACAAAACTCCATCTAAATCATCCACCTGAGGATTCATTAATCAAGACTTCAGTAATAACAAACAAACAACCAATTATTAATTGCACGTAAATATAGAGTTTCTTATAAAATCCTCTCATTTAAGTTCTAAAGTAGAACAATCATTAAAAATATAGTTTGATAAACCTGAGTATAAAAATTTCGAACATAACCACGATAATTAGAAGCATTCAGATCAATGTTTCAACTAAGAATTTCCGAAATAGTGCAATTTAAGGCAGGTAAAACTAGATGAGTGCAACTGAACGTATTATATTTAGAATTTGTAATGAATGCGCAATCAAGTAGAAAAGAATCATCATTTAGCACTAATACCGTAATAACCCAAATCAAAATCATGAACGGCTAGAAGTAAATCTTTCTGACACCTAGAATTTTATATCACTAATGGATGCAATTTTCTGTGAACTAGGCACTTTAATAAGCAGTCATTTTAAACAACATCATCGACAACTACTTGATTTAGAAATAAACATTTTTATAATTGTTTACTAGTTCTGAGAACTTTATTTGTGATCGGTTGGTAACCTAGTATTTGATGAGTAATTTATATTCCACTGTATTATTGTTGATACAGAAAATAAAGTAATATTTGAACACTTGAAAATATACCCAGAATCTAGACATTTAGATTTTTAAACTTACGATGAACAATACTTTTAGTATGGATCAAGTTAATAACGTTTATACTGACATATTTCAATAAGGTCAACGCAAAATATTTCTTGTACAATCTTTGGAAATATTTAGAGACATATCATGGTTGAGACCATGAGTCAATTGAAGCTAGACCACCAAGGAAAACCTGAAAGTACTGGGTGGCCGCTTCGTCCTATCGTGGGATTCCTCAACAGTGCGCATTCACGATCCCGCCCCCCACGAGATTCGGACCCAAGACCTATCGGTCTCGCGCGCGAGCGCTTAACCACTAGACCATTGAGCCGGCATCCAATGGTGTTAATATCGAACTTCAACCAACCCACGAAATTGAGCGGCACATCCACGATTGTCTTCAGTGAGTTACTATCTCACAACAGACCTGGTCGAACTCCACTAGTCACTGCTTCTCACTAGAACTCCAGGAAATACCTCGTGAAGCCAGTCACTAGTGAGCATATGCTGATTAATATCAGATGGGGTTTTGTGGATATTGTAGGTTTTCCATGGTGGTCTAGTTTCAAATGGCTCATGATCTCAACCATTGAAATTACTACAATATCCACAAAACCCTTTCTGAAATTATTTAACTGATGGAGACTAATAAATTCGCTTAAAATAAATCAGATTTTTCCTAAAAAACACAAACTAATTTTATTCGAAATTAATTTGATTTGTTTACTTACCAACAATATATACTATTCAAACATACAAATATTCTCAGTAAAACGAATTCTCTATTTTATCTGTATATTTTCAGTTGCCGAACGAAATAACGGGGTACCAGATAATCTAGATATGAAAGACTCTGATAATGATGGAATTCCCGATGATCAAGGTATTTCGTCTTAAAAAGCCATGAAAATTCATTGCTTCCCCCCTCACGCACCGAAATGCGCTACAAATTGATATTGAATGGCTTAATAACTATTATTACTATTATGCATTTGTATTGTTTCATGAAAGAAGTATTAATTAATGTGTGCGTGCACGTAAAATCCAAATTGTTTGAAAATGCTCAAGATTATCAACTACATGTCGTCAAACATAGTTCAGCTCTAATAACATTCTCTTCTTGATTGGCATCCCTTCATCACCTCTCTTTATATTTTAACGCTTCCTTTTCTGATATTTCCTAATGAGTGAAAAAAATGCATAGATGGAGTCAACCAATACTGAATATATCCCACCGTCTTTCTTCTACGCTCATACATATGTATACGTATTGATATGAACCGTTTTGTTATTGTTTCTGTTATTTTATTTCTACCCATTTGTTGTTAATCAAATCATGACGTACTACCATCTTTGAAGTAACCCAGATTTCTTTAAATGTTAGATGTCTTTATTTTCATTGATTTTCCGTGAATTTCTAAACAACAAAACTGCATGTCTTAATTTCCTCTAGGATCTTATATTGCGTTTGTCTATTTGTATGCTGAAGCTTTGAGCTGTATGTTAAATTTCTTCATCCGTCTAATTTAAAAATGTGATCATTGGATGAAAATGGAACATTAAGATTGCATGTTCTATAATGGAGATATTGAGTTAAAATGAGAAAAATTCCCCTACATACAAATATAAAAGTTACTTAAGCAGTATAGTCCCTAAAAATATTGAACACTTTTTAGATTTATGTACTCCCATTAAACTCTTCAATTAGTGTGTCTTACAGAAGTTATTGATAGAACATTTTATTACTCATAATGTAAACATTAAGTCAGCAAATATAATCAACATACAGAAGTACACCTAACTGACTACGGAATAGTATACACATAGTCCCCTTTATTATTTAAAGAGGGCAAGAACAAAGATTGTTCTTGCTCTCTTTATGGAATAGTAATCAGTGTTATATTGTCTAGTTCTAAATGCTTATCAAACTGTAATATGGTCACTAGTTGAAGGGGCTATTTGTCCGATACTGAGCAGTAAAACGGGGGGCTCAATAGAAGGTCATGAATCTAGGTCCCACGATAGGTATTACCAGTTAACAAGGCACATCTCTAGTCTTAAAAGAATTGATGCTTCCAGTGAGATTCATATTTAGGTCATTACCCACAATCATAATCAGAGAGGTTAGTTAGATCTGTAGTATAAAATTGCCACCAAAATTGAAAATACGCCTTTCTAACGACTATCAACTAGCATGGAATTCAAAATTCCCAGCTTCCTGCCGATCTCCTCCAACCAATTTGTAGAATTATCTCATTTACATAATCAAGACATCTAATAAGTAAACCATTTAATCTATTCGAAATTTTTTGTATTGATGAGTTACTAATAGTAGTAGTAAACTAACACAAATACGTAGTAAGTAGATCTATATAATTTTATACATACGATTTGGAAGTATGAAGACAATTTGTCAGTATAGCTTATCTCTTTTACTAAGAAGTATCCAAAATCTCTAAAACCCGAAGTAAATGAATCTATTGTCTGAGTTTTAATACTTAGTCCAACATACTTCTTAGGAGGAATCCTTAGTGTAATAAAGCAAGATTTACATGTATATGTATGTTAAGCACAAGAATTTCAATCATAACGGTGATATTCTTTGCAAAATAATCAGTAAGATTACAGCTTTGAAATGGTAATATTTGAAAAGATTTTGAAGAATAAAAGAAATATAATTCGACAAACTGTATTGACCACCAGACAGCCAAATCAGTAGCTTGTAAATATTTACGTACATATCTACTAAAAGGTTTCAATTAGTTCTTTAAATAACTTAATATAGACTATGTCTCTAAATTAAATAATGAAGAGATAAACAGATATTCGGTAAACAGGATACGTAAGTTTAAACACTGAATTTAAGTTCGATAGATAAGACTTGTGAAGGTTATCGTTTGTATCATAGACAACTATCTTCTATAATAATTAACCATGCAATAACATGAATCAATTAGTATCCCTAATAATATTACTGTTGTACTAAGTGTCTTAAGTTAAAAACATTCTCTGCTTATAATTGTCTTATTGTTATGTAACAATGCAAGACAGTGAACCTTTTATTTTTTAACATTGATACACTTGTGTTTCGAAAATTGTTATTGTAAACATTTTCTACAAAAATTTTTTTGTTGGAACGTTCTATTCTTTTTCTACTTAGACGATGACGACGATAATGATGGTATCAAGGATTATCATGAAGATCGAAATGGTAATCAGATGTTGGATATTCTTGAAGCAAAAGATACAGATGGTGATGGCATTCCTGATTATCTAGATGACGACGATGATGGGGACGGTATACCTGATTGCGATGACGATGATGACGATGGTGATGGTAAGCAAAACTTTCTGTTACTTGCGATGACTTCTGGATTCAGCTACAGAGTGAATATCCGCATTCTATACACTTGCGCACCTATTAGCGAGAGAGAATTGAGGAATGGTTATGAAGCTTCAACTGACAAACCAAGTTCATTTGTCACAAGTCTTTGATATCTGTTCATTTGTCCCCCTAACCTAGACAACGTTCTGATGTGATAAAAATTCCAGAGATAATCAGGAAACAACGCTAATTTGGGAATGAACTTTGATAACTTTGACTATATGGTTTCTCAACAATATAAAAAATATGAACAATCATCGACAATACTGAACGTGAATAATTATCATAGAAAATCATTGGAAATTCCATTGCTGAAATTTAATCATTATTACTTCCATAAAGGATAAGGTTGAGACGATTTGATATTTTCCCATCTGCAGCCATCAAAGTCTTTATCTCAGTCAACAAGATTATCTAGGCCTAAGCTCTTGGATAGGTTACTAATCAATGACTAAGTGTCAGCATTAAGTGTTCATACAGTTCAGGACTTCCATTAGTTTTTTTTTCCGGAATCAATATAGGATGGCACATGTTTCGAGATATAAGTAGCTCTATCTGTCTCGTTGAGTTTCACTTTTATATGTATTAGAGTAAAATATCTAAACTTACTTAAAGGTAGCTTCAGTAAGAGTACTAAAACCGCAATAGATTAATCGTCCACACTAAAATGTCCAACATTTTCTAAATTTCTCCATAACGCTTATGTCCATTTGATTATTACAACCTCAAACTTAATATTAACCAATCAAAGCTGTCAGTGTTAAGCTAATCAGCCAATCAGGTATAAATATGGTGGTATGGTGATTAGATAATTATAATGACAAATAAATCCATCTACACGCTATAGATCGAATATCATTTACAGCATGTTGATTTCTGTATTTTTTTATCTAAAAGTTTTTTCATCCCGTTTTATTAAATGAAATGATGAGTTATGCAATGGTAATTATTGGTTATTATTTTCTGAAAGTAATGTAAGATGTAAATATTCCTCCAGTGATCACCTTTCCTCTGTGGGATTCGTAATCGATTGGCGGTTATAGGTAAGAGTGGGTGATTAGCCCGATCTCCACCACCCGGGTTACCGCTCACGTTAGTTCATGAATCATTCGTCTCATTATCCAGGAGGCACGACGCGGATGTGTGAGTTGGATTTCGCTCCAAACTATAAACGTAAATAACTTACAATACGTCAACCTTATCATTTTAAATACTATCACGGACATTGATAACATATTCTTGAGTGAGTTGTATCTGGTAGCGTTTCAATCACTTGAAGTGTTAAAGATCATTAAAAATTTGATAAGCCTTCAGGTACAATAATCTGTATTATAATTACAAATCTGTGTCATGTCTGAGAAAGTTTTCAATTTTTCACAGTTCACTTTTAATTGTTGACTTAAATCTACATAACTGAACAGACTAAGTTCCATTTCTATGTGGTCAATAAGAAAATTATTATCTCTTTTTATCTCAATATCTATTAACGGTCGGTTGTATAATATGATGGTCTAATACTTCCGTAGTCTGTGAAGTTTAGTTTGACTACCGATCCTATAAAACAGATTACAATTTATCATAGAAGTGTTTTTTGAAGGATGTTCATAATAGAGAAGATTGTATTGATTATGTTTTAAATTCTGTTGGATGAATCACATATCAGAAATACAAGAGATTACGTTTATATTTTCTGAAGTTACATTTACCCATCATTTGTGTATCTCAACAGCAGTACAAGTCTTCAGTTTTACGGTTGTTCACTAACCATCTTAAAAAACCCATTAAGTACAGTAAGCCTTATTCGATTTTGCATTTTAGGTATATTAGACATTGATGAAGACGAAAACAGGAATAAAATTCCTGACCATTTAGAAACCGAAGACACTGATGGGGACGGTAAATTTTGTTTAAAATTATTTGCTATCAGCTGTTTTCCCCTTGATTTTTGACTAAACAAAAATCCATGAACTTTAGTCAACACTGGAATGCTATGCAGATTATTAGCTACTTTTCAGTCATTGTTTTATCAGTTCAGTCTACCTTAGAAAGGGTCAGCTAGTTATTATCAGTGTAGAGTCTGGCACAGATGTAGGTTGGCTCAAGTTGCCAAACTACTTTATGATAGGACAAGAGGTAACTAACATAGTGTATGGAGAAAGAGATTGGAATAATGTATTAGCTTGTAGCTCTTCTAGGGTTACCGCCAGTACGGAGACCTGGTAAAGGAGGAGGGTTGGGCAAGGGTCAGCAACCCCATCCCGTAGAAAACAACATTGCTAAAAAAACGCTGACCATAATAAACAAATTGGACCATTTGAACTCTGCCCTCCGAGTTGAAGAGTCTTCATTCAGAAGAACTATGACGCCTCATGGTGAAAGCCGAGATTCTTCGGAAATTACTAGACCTATGCCACTTCTAACAACCAGAGCAACAATTAATGTCGGTACATGGGATGTTCGAACAATGTAGATCGATCAAATAGCTATGGAAATAAGGGGATACAACTTGGAGGTTCTCAGAATAAATAAATGACAATAAAAAAGATTAAGCAGAGTGTAAAAGTATATATGAAGGGATATAAAATTGATAGGAAGATCAAAAGTCGATACTGCTTAAATGATTTTACAATTCTAGGTTAAATCTGTTTTAGATATTTTGGAGCAGTGTGAACTTTTAAGACGTCGCGGGTACCCCTTCAATTTTGAAACCGATTATAAACTATCTTCAATACCCAGATCTATGTTTATTTTAAGAACAAGTCTACCAATCTATGGTTTATGTAGTGAACTTCGAGTCACAATTTTCGATTACGAGTTATTGTTACTAATGCATAGGGCTGTTTTCGGATATGCGGGCTATCCACTGTTACTATAGAGATGAAACATCTTTTATCTTGGTGAAGCATTTCAGAATATAGACTTATGATACAATTTTAATGAGATTTACCTAAAGTTTTGCTTCTGTATGCCCTCAAATGAGTGAGTTGAATCTTGTTGGAAAGTGATGTATGATGAATTAAATCTTATTAATTGGATTAAATTTACATTGTTCAAGGAATCGTATCTTTAATATCCTTGGTCAGATTGTTGAATCGACATGTAAACTTGAGTCATATAGTGTAACCGTACTGTATTGTATTGCATTCCAATTTTCTACCTCCTTTTTAGTTCGTTCTGGGTCGTTCAAACACTGTGTTCTCACTTTTATAATTTCTTTTCAGCCAATGTTTAATTATTTATCTTGCGAACTTTGCGCTGTGCAAGAAATATTACAGGTACACCTTGTGTACAAGCACCAACTAGCACGAAAACTAAATACAGCATTTTCTGTCGACTACCTAACATCTAAATATAATGCACGTAATTTTGAGTTTCTTACACAAGTAACCACAATGTAACTTGATCAATAAGATTCAACCAGAACCAAGGACTAGACAAACAGTGTCGATATGACGAAATGAAATATGGGACCCTAAAGTTTTTATTTCTGTTCATCTGATCACTAACGTCTAAATGGAATAAAACAAAGCAGCTCAGTGATTATCTAGTCATGTTCTCAGAGTAAAAGTAAATTCTTACTAAATTTTTCGTCAGGTTACGTGAAGTCACTTCCCAATTTAACTATCTTATCCTTTGAAGAAACATTAATTGGAACCAATAAACATTTCTTATTTTGATTTTTCATTGTTTTGTAAAATTCCACTTTCATTTTGTCAGAAAAATTTGTCTTTTTTTCTTAGGAATTATTGATCTACTTGATACAGATGATGATAACGATAATATACCAGACCACTTAGATAGTGATTCCGATGGAGATGGTATTGACGATAAAAAGCAAGACAGAAATCGTCATAAAACTACTAATCCAAAAGAAACTGTCAAGAAAAGTAAGTCCTTCTTTAATCTGAAAAAGCTTGAATTAATTAAATTCATTAGTTATAGCTTTTTTAGTTATTATGATATGATGAAGGTTTGGTTAAGATGACTACGGGGAAGCAAAAGAAGGAATGTAACTCCAATTAATTGTTGTCTAAATTGGTTTGTTAGATGTTACTTAGATTAGTATCAAATATTGAGCTAATGACAACTGAAAGACACTGTACTCTTTAGATCGATTGACCTACTGCCTTCAGGACTTACAGTTTATGTATTACTATTAACCCACTGGGTTCATCAGTCTTTACGTCTTAACTTTTATAGTGTACGAATGTTTGCTATCACCTATTCTCGATTATCATCGTCGACTTAGATCGCGTTATCCAATAACGGAATTAAATAAGTCGAATAACGAGAGTTGATTTGTGAATACATATATTTCGTACATGGAGCGAATGAAGCACAGCAAAGCAAAAATCACACGTATGGAAGATGGCTGGGAAGCCAACTCCCATACGTGTGATTTTTGCTTTGCTGTGCTTCATTCGCTCCATGTACGAAATATATGTATTCACAAATCAACTCTCGTTATTCGACTTATTTAATTCCGTTATTGGATAACGCGATCTAAGTCGACGATGATAATCGAGAATAGGTGATAGCAAACATTCGTACACTATAAATTGGAGTCAGATCACCGGGCCACTTCACTTTATATGATCTGTGAAATATCAATTCTATCATTTAATTTCACTGACAGTTATTCGTTTTTTACTGTTAAAGAAGAGTTTTATTTTACTAGTGCTTCGGTTTAAAACTATGTTTAATCGTCACTTGAAGTGTTGTAATTCTTAGAGCTTCAGAAAAGCGGTATTCTAGTTATGACTTTAAAATAAATAAGCTTCCTCTTCAGATAAAACCAAATAGATATATTTACTCTGTGCTTATTTGTTTACAATATTCAGCTACACAATTTATCAATATTTCGGTACATTAATATGTTACTGTACTAATATTGTAGTGACAAACAGTTTAAACTTGTTTAAAGGATACTTTTTATCCATCAGAAAACCTTTATTGTCAGAACATGAAGATAGTAAACAAAATACCTTAATAATTTAATTTCTTTAGTGTCCATAAATTCAGTTCAACTCAACAAAGTTTAACAACTCTTGTTAAAAAATGATTTTCACCATGACTCAGTATTCTATTGAAGACAAGGAAAATTGCCGAATACTGAACAATCTTTACCATACGAGTAGTGAATACTTCATTAACATGACCTATCTACCTGCCTAGTCTTTAAATCACGGATCCACAATTGATGGATTGTGTACCAAGTGCTACATACATTGGCCGACCTGTCATGATAAAAAACACATTTGGACTTCAAGTATTCAATCGCATGAGTTTCGTTTTAGACAGTATTCGCATTCCTTGAAACCACTAGATGACCTTTTAGATATATCGGTCGCTTGATAAATTCAAATTAAACGAGAAGAACAAGATTTGCAGAATAACACGGATTTATTATATTTCAATGCTTCTCATCATCTGTAAACGGCCTAAATTTACATTGGTGATATAATTATAAAGTTTTGCATACCGTGACCAATAACCTTCAGTTCGAGAAGAAATAATAAACAATAAAAAAAGTCATTAAAAAGGGGTTTTGTGGAGATTGTAGTAATATAATAGTTGTATTCGTGAGTCGATTAAAGCTAGATCACCATGGAAAACCTGGAAGCACTGGACGGCCGTTTCGTCCTAATATAAGACACCTCAGTGATACACATCCACGACCCCGCTCGCGGGATTCGAAACCAGAACAACAACATATTTGATATAATAGTGAAGACTGATTAGTATTCATGTGTCGAAGATGAAGTCATAAAAAGGGATGAAATTATAAAAAAACATATGTGATAGTCAATCAAGGCACCTGGTTGATATAAGATTAATATTTAACGTTGTGAATGAATGTCAGTGGGATTCTTTTGAATGAAAGTATTTTAAATGATTAATTCTGTAAGTTTGTGTGCCAAATAAATCAGCGTCGTTCGGTGAATCAATTTTTGTGAAGAATCATATGACCCCATTTCCAATCTTTCATGTTTGCTACTGTGATATTAGAGAACGTAATGAAAACTATTCGAAATCCCATTATTTTTTTCATAATCGAGTCATAGTAAAAAACACTTACCATTCATTTGCTGCAAAATATGATTAATAATAAATAAAATTTCCCTGTAATATGAATACTATCTAAATTATATTCATCGTTTATTAATATAAACAACATAGCAGAAACAAATGCTTTATCGTATTGATGAAAGCGTTTTTCTCGCGACTGGTCTTGGTTGGTATTAAAGGGAAGAGAGATAGTTACTCAACATTATTGTTAACATTTATGTTGATTACTCTTACTTGATAAAAACAACCATAAAACATGATAAAATATTAAAGTGTATATATTTATTATGGTCCCGACCGTTGTTGCTACCTTGACGTGGAGGTCGAGCTTGCCTATCGTTATGATCTAATCGAGCTATACTGGCTGGAACAATCATTCCTCAAGGTCTTACCATGCCAGACAGGTCGGCTGAAGAGCGGCAAGACTAAAAGCAGAAAACCCAAGGTCCGAAGGCGAAGTCGTACTACTGACTGTACAGAGGTGTAACGGCAGTAACTGTGATGAATAGTGTGTCTCCGAAGCACACATAGAGGATCCAGTGTGATCATTCACTTGACCTCACCCCGCCAAAACGGAGAGCCAACGAGATACACCCTCCGTGTGTCTGGAGACCCGATAGCTAGTTCTCGTGGACTGTCAGGTGTAGGCATAGCACTAAGTGCGAGGGCAGGACAATCACTATTAGTGTGGAACCCCGTTAACAGTCGTCTATGTTCTGTTCGGCTAAACAGCTCCGTAAGAACTCAGAAGGACGGGGGACACGTCGTTGCCTTCTCATCGTTTCTGCCTACGCTCCCACTGACTGCAGCCCGGATGAATTGAAAGATGACTTTTACAGAAAGTATACTTAACTTCTTCAGAAAGCTAAACGTTCATACATAGTACTCGTAGCAGGTGACTTTAATGCCCAGGTAGATAGCTCAGACCAAACAGAAAGGGATTTAGGTGGGTATTTTGGTATTCCAGCTCAGCGAACAGATAATGGGGATCATCTGCTGCAACTGCTCAGACAATCGTTTATTTTTAACAAACACTAATTTTAAGCATAAGGAGAGACATCATCTAACATGGCGATCCCCTACACCAGACCAACAATGGACTCAAATATACCATATTGCCATCAGTCATCGTTGGAGATGGTCGATGGAAGATTGTCGCTCATTCTGGAATGCCTGCTTCGACTCCGAACATGCTCTAATACGGACACGCATCTGCTTACGCCTCACTGGACGCAGAAAAGCCACACTAAAAAGACCCATTAGAATTGAATTGAGTAATGAGTAGGTTCCAGGAACAACTGAGGTCACACTTAGGTAGTTCTGAAAACGAGGCTGACCCAGATGTTGCTTGGAAAGATATACAAACAGCTGTGGGAACGGCAGTGACAGCTGTTAGTGATTTAAACCAAAGGATTACAGAAATTAGATTAGTGGAAACTATATACTCGGCACCCAATTCTTGTCAAACTATTCGTTCTAATACTGACGAAGATTCGTATAAATTACTTAATTCATTTTTGAGTTAGCGGTAACAATATGATTTCAGTCTTGCAGTCCTACCACTGGGACACTAAATACCAGATATTAGCTAGTATAACCAGTATTATCATTAGGACTTGACCATTAGACAATTAGACTCAATACTAGACCAAGTACTTGATCAATACACTAAATGATAGACAATGTATACACAGATATACGAAATTCGAAGCAAAATTGAGAACCAAACTAGATTGGACCATAATTTACTGATACAAATCACAAATAGTCAATATATAGTGAAGTCTGAATAGAAATCAACCTTATACAAATAAAAATAATCTACATATTTCTATCTTTTCTTATTAGCCAACTACAACTGAGCGTCACCTGACAAGTCAGTTTCGTATATAATCGAGATTCTTGTTTATTTTTTTCATTCTAGATAGAGAAACCAAAACGATGGTGCATTCACCTTCACCTAAATCTCAACTACCAGGACATTCAAAAAGCAAATCACTACCTAAAAAGACAACAGAAGATTATGATAATGAAGACAGTGAAAAAACTGATGATGATTATGACAACAAGAAACTATCTAAAATGAAAGACAGTGGTATCAATAGTGATAATGATGATGACGATGATGATGATAACGATGAAGACGAAGATGACGCCGATGGAGCAGATGATGGCAAACCTATGACGAAAACTAGGTCTATAGTTTTGTCTATATTAAAACGAATCGAAAACATCTTTGGTGTTGAAGATGATGATGGTGATCATGATGCTGAAGAGGATGATTCACATGAAGAAATTCATGATCATTAAAATGTTATTTTATCCTCATTTTTATACTAAAGAGATTTCATATGATTTTATCAAAACTAAAGTTGTTTTAGAACCATTAAGTAGTACAACCAACCATTACTACTCATTCTCATGACTTAGTTTGCATCGGTTGAATATACTAGCTCAATTGACAAAACTATTGTTTTGATGTATGATAATGTGCAGTTCTGTACCTTACCATTTTTTTTCGTTTTAAAGATATTCTTACATACTAACTAAATCCTTAGAATAATACTCTCACACAATAGCTTTACTTTTCATCCACTCAGTCTCTTTGTTCTCCCTCTTCAACCCTTCTTTATTGCTTCATTTTCGAATCAGTTAAACTATCCATCTTGTAACTTATCCAATTTCTTCTTGTTTTTTTATTTGCTTTAGTGGAAATAGAAAGAATTGAACAGGAAAACAACAAACAAGTACACAAAAGAGACTAGATTAGAAAATAACAAGAAATATGGAAAATCAATAGAATAGAGTTATATACAACGTTGATTTTCCAGCTCTTTTGTTCTGATCAAGTAATTTTGCATTTTCGTTGATTACACACACACACAAACTAAACACATGTTTTAATGGTACTACTACTACTATCACCGCCTTTCTTTCAACTACTATGAATTAGTTATTCATTCACCAACTGTAATAAACTCTTTGTGAATGTTTATTCCTTGTTTTCTTTCGGTTTTTCAGTTTCACTTCTTCATCATCCACTATTTTTCGTTCGTATACAGTAGAAATATTCTGAAAACCCTATCTCCCTACATATACTGTTTTTATTTTTCTGTCTTCAACTTTCAATTTAAATTAAATATAGACACATTTAAACAAACAAACAAATTACAGCACAGAAATTAAATATTATTTAGTTGAGTTTACTTATTTTCCTTTAGCATGTTTTCGTTAATAAAATTTACTGGTTTTCTTTTGAAATATTGTGTACTCAGTAAAGTTGGATTCAGAGCACGTTTCTCATCGTATTTGGGACTCGTCAACGAGATCTTTATTCATCCCACTGTTGATATTCATGAAGAAACTCGAAGCTTCAAACTTCAACGCACTGTCGACTAAACTGTTACCTTCAAATGGTCACTAACTCTCCTAACAGGTATGAAGTTATTTATAAAGGCTTTTATTTCTCCGTTGTTGGTATGGGTAACTACAATCAATCATTCTATTGGCATATACATATTCTGAGCGAATTATCTCAATACTACCAGTCACAACTAAACTTTACTAACAATTCGTGACTTCATGGAAATCATACAGGCAATCCTATCAGGATGCTTACATACCAGTAGAAACTCAGTCAATTAATAGTAACGTAGAACATGGAGCTTCTCCATCATACCACTTTATAACAAACACTAGCATAAAAACTGCCCAGTAATGCAATAAAATTCGATCTAAAGGTTAAGGAATGTAACTATGATTGAGCGTAGATTAACACATCTGTATTCAAAAATTTGGCTAAGAGTAAACATCTGATTGATACAGCTACATCTAAGTCTGGAATTAGTTTGCTGTCTGCGATCTGTAGTTAAGACTTGAATAATTAAAAGTATTCAGAAGCTAACGTTTACGAGCAATTTCACTTTCATGTGTTTCACAAGTACACATTAATAACTTTTTTAAAGAAAAGATTTCCAGTTTGCATGTCCCATTTGAAATTCAATAAAGAAACAACCACTAAAGAAGAATAGTCAGTCAGTTCATTATCGACGAATGGAACAAATGTGTGTTATCCAAAGTTGTTATAGCACAGTAGCAAGACTAGATAAAACTACCAAAATGAATAAGAATATCAAGAAGAATATTCTGAATTTGCTTACGTCTGTTGAATGTTTATTAGACGCCTAATATCTTTAATGTTGAGACATTGAATTACAGACAAAACTTCAAATTGTTTTAAGCTTAACGAACCTAACATTGTCAAATTAATTGGCGAATAAGATGAGTGAGTAGTAATACATTGAGGTTTTCAGATTTAAGAGATATTAAAATGTTAAAAATATGTAAACTTTTCAACAGAAATGAAGTGAAATAAAAGATATTTTGGAATTTCAGATAAGTGATTAGTGGCACTATCTGGCACACTGAATCAACTTAGATGAAATTCGAACTCAAAACTTAGCAGTTCGATCTTGAATGTTTTAATCAAGCACACCGTATTTTAAGGGTGGATTACTTCAATGGATCAATTTAAATTTCATCAGCTTGTGATAAGCCACTTCATTTTACCAGCTAGTTATCATTTAATTAATCATGAGTGAGCTGCTTGATGAACTAGCAATGATTTAATCTAACCATATTGAGTAGTAACATTTTAATGACTATGCCATTGTGCCAAATAAAATTGCCTCATACATATGTTGTGTTCTTGATTGTTTATAACCAGCCGAGTGTTGACTGCCATTATATAATCATATCGGATTATAAAATTTACCAAGGTAAACGTAAGAATACAATTTTACTTTAAACAAGCTAGTGTTAGCAGAAGAAGGTCTTAACTGTTGTACAGTTGAATCAGACGAAAATAGAGAAGCGCTGATTTGCCGATTTTAGATCTAGCATCACTAGTGGATGACTCCAGATACGAGAAGATTCTTACGTAAATTGTCCACAAACTCTTGTGTTTTACCCTTGGATATTTTGTTGTTCGTGTTTATTGAAATATACATTGTTGCTCTCGATTTTTATTAGGATTTAGGAAAAGCCGAGTGAAGCATATACCCAAGGAATACTAAACAGTAGAACCTGACTCCATCTAGATCATTTGCTGCTTGTTATTGAAATACACATGTTGCCAATCCTCGTATATTATTATCGACTTAAATCGCGCCAGTGAATAACGGAATTAAATAGGTCAAGTATGAGAATGGATTTCAAATATGTATATGTCATACCATCATTGATCTAGACAGACGATCGAATGAATAAAGCGAAACGAGATGATGTGATGTGGAGAAGGCGTGCGATGAGTAGGCTAAGAAATGCACATGCATACGCTTACATTAAAAACGGTTAAAGTTAATAGGCGAACAAGTGACAAGGTCAAAATATAGCTTGAGAATGGATAAATTAATTTGTCCATAGGCTAGAATAACCTATGTCGGCTTGACATAGGGCCAGCCACAACAAAACAATGTAGCCATACGTTTAGCTTCGTCTATTTGATTATGGTTGCCTTATGATTCAGAAAAAGATGTAGGTTTATTTGTTAGTTGAGACTGTAGTGGCTGATACTATGTCAAGCCCACATATGTTATTCTAGCTCCTGGATAGACCAACTTGTTCAATCGTTTCAACCACAATTTGACCTTGTCAATTATTCACTTATTAGCCCTGACTTTAAATATGGTCGTATGTGTGGGTAAACATTTACTGGTGTGTTAATTGCTCACCTTATTCACTGAGTGTCTGCAAATTATTTTGGTAAGAATAAATATTGAGTCACGCTTAATCACAACGAATTGTCTCACCCGCCATCTCCTCTGCGCGTCACTTAATTTCGTCTCGCCGATTGCCTGTTCAGATCAATGAGCATACGAAATATACGAATTCATTCTCGTATTTGAGTTATTTTGTTCCATTATCTCCTAACCATAAAAATAAACGAGGGTTGACAGTATGTATATTTCAATAGCTTGACACTCAGGTCTATCATCAATCGATCCAATTTATCAACCAATCATAAACATTATGGACAAATATAGGACCACAAATTACATCAATAAAGGGAGATACAATCAAACTAAAGAAGTAAACAATAGCCGGTTAAAGGCGAACAATAACCAGTCAAGATCGAGGCCTACAGGACAAGCTGTGAGCCATATGTGGAGAAACCCGAACGCTTCACTTCCACCTGAAGTTTGCACTGATGTTCAGAATAAAGATGAAAGCTTCACAGTCAAACTATCCAGCTTAGAAAACTAAACTCTACCATAATATTTTGATAGCAATCATCAAACGAACTGCAGACGTCACAAGCATTCGGGGTTTGACAACGCTTTAACCAGTAACACCTAATATGAAGCGTACCCACCAAGTGAAATCAAAAGACAGAAGCGAAGAAGTTCGAAGATATATTTGATATGCTACCAATATATCGAGGATCGTCTGATCTAATCTGGCTAGCGATTGCAGTAGTTGTTAAACATGACGTTCCCACTCGTGATCTGGTGCGGATGCATGACCGAGCGCCTTCAGTTAGGTGAGTCCATTAAAACATGTGGTCGGCATCCAATGTCGAAAACTTACAGAGCTATTTAACTTGGGGATTTATTTACTGCTACAGAACTCTGCCTGGATCCCCTCTGGGGCTACTGCTGGCACCAAGCCGGGATAAAGGAGGAGGGTTTGGCATGGGGTTAGCGACCCCATCCCTTAAAAAACTAACTCACTAAAAAATACTAACCAGAAAAAATAATTCAGACCATTTAAACTTTGCCCTGTGAGTTAGGTCTCCATTTAGAAGTCATGACGCCTCATAGTGAAAGCCGAGCTCCTTCGGAAGTCACGAGGTTGGTGCCCATTCTAACAACCAGAGCGACCATTAATTTAGGTAAATGGAATGCTCTTACAGTGAGGGAAACCGAGAGTCTTTCAAATTGCTGCAGAAATGAGGAGATACAACCTGGAGGTGCTTGGGATCAGTGAAACACATTGGACACAAGTTGGACAACAACGACTAACTACAGGAGAGCTCCTGTTATACTCCGGCCATGAAGAAGAAAATGCACCACATACACAAGGAGTTGCATTGATGCTGTCCAAACAAGCGCAAAATGCGCTTATAGGATGGGAATCTCATGGACCAAGGATCATCAAAGCCTCGTTTAAAACAAAGAAAGAGGGCATTTCAATGAACATCATCCAATGCTATGCGCCTACCAACGACTACAATGAAGAAGCTAAAGATCAATTCTACGATAGGCTACAGTCAATCGTCGAGAAATGCCCAACAAAAGACTTGATCATTCTGATGGGAGACTTGCATGCCAAGGTTGGAATGGACAACACCGGATATGAAGACATCATGGGACGACACGGACTGGGAGAAAGGAACGAAATGGTGAGAGATATGTAAACCTATGTGCCTTCAATAAACTGGGCATGGGTGGCACCATATTCCTACATAAAAGCATACACAAAACCACATGGACTTCACTGGATCACACTAAGCATAAACAAATCGACCATATCTGCAGCAATAAAAGGTTCTGAAGGACGTGAGGATCGAGAGAGGAGCTGATGTAGTCTCAGATGATCAATTGCTGGTCGCCAAGATGAAATTTAAACTCAAGAAGCACTGAACAATATGACAAAAGCTTAATACGGCTCTTTTTCGGAATACTGACAGACTCAATTAATTCAAGATAGCCCTCAGCAACAGGTCCCAGGCCTTTCGCGATCTACTTGATGTAGAGGGAACTAATATCGAGAAGGACTGGAAGGAGATCAAGGGGGCAATCACTTCAACACTTAAGAAGGTTCTGGGCCACAAGAAGCACAATCACAAAGAATGAATCACTGTTGATAGACTGGATTAGATTCAAGAAAGGAAGAACAAGAAGGCAGCAATCAATACCAACCGACAAGAGCACAGAAAGCCAAGGCACAAGCTGAATACACAGAAGTAAACAAGCAAGTGAAGAGGAGCATCAGAAATGAAGAACGTAAATATGTGAAACACCTAGCAATGATGATAGAAAAGGCTGCAAGTGAAGGAAATATGAGACAATTGTATGACACAACAAATAACCTCGCTGGCAATTATCGTAAACCAGAACGATTAGTGAAAAGCGAGGAAGGTAAAGTAATCACCAACATTGAAGAACAGCAAAACAGGTGGGTAGAACACTTCAAAGGACTCTTGAATCGACCAGCCCCACTAAACCCACCCAACATCGAAGCAGCACCCACGGGCCTCCTAACCGATGTTGTCCACCAACAATTGAAGAGACCAGCATGGCCATCAGACAAATCAAGAGTGGCAAAGCAAGGGGACCAGATAACATTCCAGCAGAGGCACTTAAAGCAGACGAAGTAATAACTGCAAAAATACTCCACATTCTCTTCAATAAGATTTGGGATGAGGAACAAGTACCAACAGACTAGAAAGAAGGACATCTCATCGAGATACCAAAGAAAGGTGATCTCAACAAGTGTGAGAACTACAGACGCATCACTCTTCTCTCAATACCAGGAAAAGTCTTCAACAGGGTGTTGTTAAACAGAACGAAAGACTCCGTAGATGCCCAACTTCGAGACCGACAGGCTGGATTAAGTAATGATCAGTCGTATGCCGATCAGATCACAACACTACGGATCATTGTGGAACAATCAATTGAATGTAATTCATCACTCTACATCAACTTCATTGACTACGAGAAAGCGTTTGATAGTGCGAACAGAACAACACTATGGGGTCTTCTTCGATACTACGGCGTGCCTGAAAAGATAATCAACATCATACGGAATTATTATGGTTGAATTAACTGTGAAATCGCTCATGGAGGACAGCTCGCAGACTCGTTCGAGGTAAAGACCGGTGTCAGGCAAGCTTGTTTACTCCCACCCTTTCACTTTCTCCTGGTGATCGACTGCATTATGAAAACGTCAACATCTGAGGGGAAGCACGGGATACAGTGGACAGCTAGGAAGCAACTAGACGATCTAGACCTCGCAGGCGATCTGGCTTTTCTATCGCACATACAACAACAGATGAGGGAGAAAACGACCGGTGTAGCGGCAGCTTCAGCAGCAATAGGTCTCAGTATACACAAAGGGAAAAGCAAGGTTCTCCGATACAACACAACATGCACTAATCAAATCACGCTTGACGAAGAAGATTGGGAAGATGTAAGAACCTTTATATATCTGGGCAGCATCATTGATGAATACGGTGGATCTGATGCAGATGTGAAGGTGCGGATCGGAAAATCAAGAGCAGCTTATTTACAATTGAAGAACATCTCGAACTCAAAACAACTATCAATCAACACCAAATTCAGAATTTTCAATACAAATATCAAGACAGTTCTACTGCATGGGGCGGAAGCTTAGAGAACTACGAAAACCATCATCCAGAAGATACAAATGTTTTTTAACAGTTGTCTACGTAAAATACTTCGGATCCGTTGGCCAGACACTATCTGCAACAACGTACTGTGGGAGAGAACAAACCAGATTCCAGCGGAAGAAGAAGCGCTGGAAGTGGGTAAGACACACATTGAGGAAAGCACCCGACTGCGTCACAAGGCAATCCCTAACATGGAATCTTCAAGGCCAAAGGAGAAGAGGAAGACCAAATAACACATTGTGCCGAGATGGAAACAGACATGAGAAGAATGAACGATTGGATAGAACTAGAAAGGAAGGTTCAGGAGATAGTGGGTTGGAGAATGCTGGTTGGCGGCCTATGCTCCACTGAGAGTAACAGGTGTAAGTAATCAGCAAACAATTTAACTGGAATCAAATACTGTACCACTAAAAGACTACTGAAGATGACTAGACAAAAACATTTAGTCAGTCAATGAAACCATCCTTTGAACTGAGCAATGTTGGTAGGTGTTGTGAGGCGCGGTTTCCGAGGCTCAAAATGATAGAGGAACTTCCTATCCACAAAACTCAACTGACTATTGAATGAGAAGGTTAAGAATGGAAAACGTTTAGGCCAAACCGAATTATATATAGACCCTAGACAATAAAACCGTTTCTTGGACAATAGCACGAACTTATCATTTCGGATATTTCTGACTGACATAATATGCCCTTTTCATTCGACGACTTCTGATTGACCAACTGTATCAGTAGGTGCAGACCATGCGTCTGGGGATTTCGAGTGATATGTTTCACGACCAATCGCAGCAGTTCAAGTGAATTCACTCTTCATCTCTTAATTCTTCAGCTCTAATATTATTTCGTACTTCTCATCCCTCAAATTTGTTTCTTTTTTTCGAACAGCAGTCTTCAGTACTCAGTCTTTCGCATTATCGTACTGCTACAACCTTGACTTTTGATAATCACTGTTAATTTCACATCGCCATCCTGATGTAGTATGGCAAATAGGACTAACGCATATTAATACCAGACCATATGTTGATCACGACGATGACATTGACGAAATTAATCGTTGGACAGATAACTGTTGAATTTCGCATCGAGCTGTATGCAAAACAAGGGTGGGTTAATGTAGGGACCGACGTCACCTGAACTAATATGGACAGTCTGACTTTCTGTTCACAGCAAATGAGACTTAGTTCCTAATGCTTAAAAATTTCGCCACTACTCAATAAAAACCCAAGGTTAATTTCATTGACAAATACACAGAGGTAATAGGTCGAACGGAACAAATAACTTCAGTTCTTCTATGAGGTCAAATAGCCAAGCCTCGATGGGGTCATCCCCTTTACCATTAGTAATCAACAAACTCGACTTTAAGAAGATCAAAGTGTTTTGAGATTAAGATCGGAGTATGTCCTAGTTTAAGAGAACGGCTGAATTTTTATAGCATCTGATCGTTACATTGGGTATCAGCAATTGGTTTTCTGTAGATTACGTCCACCAGACACCTTACATTACTGAAACAAATCTTGATGCACATCATTTGGATTCACTGAGATTAGAGAAGTACTTGTGTTTCTCAATTTAGATAACTCGTCCATTGTGTTGGGTAAAATTGGAGGGTCCACACAAAATTAGCTAGCACCTTCTATTTGAAATGGATATCCATGGCCGCTTTGTCCGACTGAAACTTATGCGAATGGGCAGGACACCTACTTACAGAAGCCTTCTTAGTTGACAATGCAATCAAGAGGAACATGTGTAAATACATGCAAGCAAGTCATTTTAGATTTACATTGAAATGGATAGCATGAGCATTTGCATCTTCATGATCGACACTAAGCAGTCAACCAATAGTTGTTTTCATCAAAATGAAGAGGACACTATGAAACTTTACTAAAGTTATCTACCTGAGTTACACAACCTCTCCACTATCTTGGAATATACACGGATACTTAGTTTTGGTTTTCAACAGGATGCAATGGCTAGCCTAAATGGTAATGAAGAACACCATAGACATTTTTTATATAATGAAAATAAAAACCAAAAGACAAATGACGAATGTTTCATTCAATTGATAGTTTTTTTTGTAGAGGTGTAAATACATTATTCTTATTACACACGGAGAGTATTTTTATGGTACATACTGATCACATCCGACAATGATTACATTATACACACCAAAAACGCTCAGGATACTAACACACCCGAAGTCGATGACGAAGATATATTATCTTTTTTCTCTGAACCTGTAGAGTCTTTTTCACCAGCAATTCTTATTTTATGCTCAGCCTTGTATCTTTGAAGTTCTCGACCTTTTTCCTCAAACTGCTTTGACAATGTTTCGATACATTCAGACATCTGGACGTATGAATTTAAAAAATAAGACTCACTTTTTTTACACTATCTTCAAGAGCCGGAAGGATGTCCTTCACTTGACGTTCAATTAATACATTGTCTATCATTCTCATGCATTTACGAGTAGGCTCCACTGACTGCAACACTTTAATGACCATACTTTAAAAAAGTTCAAAACGTAAATGTATTAAAACTGGACACATATTTAACAAGAAAAGAGTGGTCAGTATCAACAAAATCAAAATTTCATGTGGTTAATCAACAGAACCCTAGGACACAAGTGTAGTCATAGGATACAATACTATAACTTTGGTTCGGTAACTATACTTTCCAGAAATAGAAGACGGGACAGAAGTTGTTGAATAAGATTATTTTTATGTGCTAATTCAATTCATAATGTGAACAAATGCTAATTGTAAACAAATGAAGGATTCGGTGGGCAATCCCGGTGTCGTACTGAGTGTCATCTTCCACCTGAGTAAGTCCAGAAAAAAATACACTAGGAAACAACCAGCTTACAAAGTGCCGACGTATTATCAGTGTGGATCAATTTAAACGATTATTTCACTGTTAGCTGAAGCAAAAGCATAAAAACTAGTCCCATAACGAAGACGGGCGAGACTCTAATTTATGGACGAGCCAACCAGAAGCGTTTTAGAGATTTCAAGGTTATGGCGCCGACTTCAGTGCTTTTATTATTAGTAGTATTAATGGCTTTATTCAATATTATATTTTGGTACAATATATAATTCTCAGCACAGGGTATTTCAACAAGTTTCTTACACAAAAAACAGAAACAAAGACAAAAAAAGGGGAAATTTAAAAAAATCTGAAAAACTGTACAACTTCCCAAATTAGAGACATATTAAGAATGCAGATTAGTGACTAGGTTAACTCTAACAACCTGCTCTCACAGAGTATATTTGCTATGTAAGGTATTATAGAACTTTTATACTTTTGCTATTGTGCATGGATTTTAATGTAATTACGTCTCATTCTACCATATGATATACAAGGAAAAAGATAAGAGTGAAGGGGATGGTTAGTATCTGATAAAATAACACCTGCCAGGAGTTTGCATGACTTGAGATGTCTATCCACAACCATATTATGACCTCGAAAGATTCATCACACACCTTGCTAACTGCCTTCAGCACTCTCCGCAGTACAGCAAGGTTTTTTCTCAAAAGCCCGGGAAAAAATAATGGAGAACAGTTAGGAATAGTAGGTAATATGCAAGAATTGACAAGTTGTGAGAGTAAATGACGAGTATTCCCAAGAGCATGCAATCTCTTTATGTAGTAAGTCAGATGGAAAACCTTCGATAACAATAAAACGTGAGAAGACCAAGAAAGATCAGAGGAAAAAGTAACACAAAGATAATTGACCTTCGACACTGGGTTTATCGAAGAGTCTCCAGTGACACAAGCATTATGGGATCTCAAAATAGTGTTTATATTCCGTTCATGTCTCATGCTAAAGTTAACAGCTTGACATTTAGACGGATTAAGTATAAGACCATTACCAACAGACCAACAGTCAATACGAGACAAAAACTCATTCATTTCTATGGGATGTAAAGAGGAAGAGATAGGCATACACACAGTGAGATCATCCGCATATTTCACAAAAGTGTTTTCTGTGGAAGCTGGCAGATCATGTAGAAAAAAGAGAAAAGAGGTGAAAGAACAGCTCCTCGTGGTACACCTTCATGAGACAGTAGAGACTCTCGACACTTTCCTCCAAATACAGTGTACTGTTCCCTTCCAGAGAGGTATGAACATATCCAGTTGGTTATCCAGCTGTCATTGTTGACGCTGACTAACTTGTTAAGTAAACGTTGTCTTGGTATAGAATGCTAACATACGATCGATTCACATGGAATTTTGTACAAAACGTGATAATTGAGCGGTTATAGCAAATAAAATGGTGACTATAATTTGTGGACGAATCAATCAGGTATAAGATATAGATCTCAGATTTTAACGCGAAAGCCTTTCATCCATTTGGCTAAACAAATTTCTGGCATTATAGCTGATGTCAGCTCGTGATGAAAACCCCATATATAATTCCTAACTAAGGCAAATTATGAAAATTATTGCGAACCGGATAATAAAAGTACCAGTAACACTGGCTGCAGCCACGTACTACAATATAAACGGATGTTTAGAGAGCGTACAGACTCTTACATAGGCTTGGTTATGTGCATCGTGTCGTTATACAGAAGTAGCATTTTGTGCACTCAACAACCGGAGTGCACACAAACAATATTGAAACTATGTGGTCGAGGCTGAAAAGGTTTTTGAGACTTTATTATGGCTCCAGAGGCCGACTATTCTGTGGCCGTATGGATGATTTCCTCTACTGCATGCATCACGATTTTAGAACCTCTGAACCTCTTCCTAACCTTGACAAGTTTTTGAACAACGTATAAGAAGTGCATACACTTTGATTCCTTGGTTTTGTATAATATATTTTGACTCTATACTGACTGTTTGCTGATTGGCTAATATTTATCAAGGTCACTTAAGATTCGTTCAAAGGTCGTCTACTAATTAGTCTCGCGAAAAAAACCTGAAGAATTATAACAGGTATTACGACAGAGATAATATTGAGCTTAAGGGACACGAATTCAAAATACGTCAACTTTAATGCAAAGCTGGCAGCAAGGTAAGAGAATGTCAATGCTTAGTAAACATTAAACCCCTTTTATTTTTTTAATTATCTACTCAAGTGACTGGAACGAAAGTCAATGGGAAATTATCATTTAGATAAAATCATTACCACCTCAGGACTTCTGAAATAGTGGGCCAAAAGCGATTTATGAAGTTTAAATGTAAAAATGAATAAGAATCATATTTCCATCCGAATATGCATAAATTATTTAGTCTCATTTCCCGACACAACGAAAATAAACATGACCCGCCGTTTTTGGTGGAGTTTCGTTCTCTGAGCTCCAGCTCATCCACCTGAGCTACAAATCTTCTCCACCATCTCATGACCCGTGGTGAAAACAGGCCGAAACATTTGTCGTGAGGCTTCGTTTAATATAATGATAATTTACTTTTTGACTACGGTACCCATAAATTAGGAAATGTACATAATTTTACACGAACTTACTTGTGTTCCCTTTGATCAAGTTCTAGATCATTAATTTTGCTCCCGATAGAGCGCTGTTCGTAACGCAACCGATTGAAACCTTCTACTATCTCCTCTTCTGTTGGGGGTTTCGCTTTACTAGAGGATGCTGAAGACATTGACCTTAGGGAAATGTCAGCCGCAGTTTCCAGCTTCACACAGTACCGTCTGTTAGATATGGCCCGCGTCTGACTATGCAAAGTTCAAATTCTGCATCGCACAAAAATGCAGATTCGTGTGGTAAGGACAGAAGGATTACGGTATATGTTATACTTTTTCTAGTACGCTACTATTGTGGTGTGCTGCTTATATTGACATAAGAATTATATGACGTTAGTCGTGAATAGAATGTCTGGCAGCAGAGAGACATGAGGATCGAACAGTAAAGAATGGAAACATAATGCAGTTTGTATGAAAATGCAAGAACAATGAAATCCGAGTCATTTCGAGACAATTGGTGGACATTTTGCAGATTAAGCATTTACTGTATGATTGTTCGATTTTTCAGCAAGTCCTGTAATATTGTGTCAAATACAATCGATTGTCTCCACTGGTGTTCTGTTCACTACATTATTAGTGTCCAGTCTTCTCTTGAATGGGTCAATTTAGGTTGCGGACACCACAGCTTCGAGTAACAGGTTTCAAGAACTGATGAATTGATGTGAAAACCTGTATATCAATGGTATTTTCTTCGTTCTTGGCTTTTCTACTCGGCTGCTAAGTCCTCTGTGATGTCCCGATCTAGTGGAAAGAAAAAGAGATAATACGTTAGGTCCAACATCATTTCCCAGTATTCTGTACATCAAAATTAGATCTCCCCTTAATATTCAATAGGACAGAGTAAAGAGGTACAGTTTTTCAAGCCGCTCTTTGTATGGTAAACCCCGGTGTTCTGGAATTGCACGGGTAGCTGCCCTCCGAACATTTTCTAGGATATCCGAGTCGCCTCTTAAACGGGGGTTTGCAGCCTGGACGCAGTTCTCAATCTTAGTTCTCACCAAGGATGTGTATACTGTGGTGCACATGGTAGTATCTAACTTAGTGAATATCCGTTTTAAAGCATAGAGTGTTCGTAACCACTTAGCTGCGACCTCTCGGCAATGGGCCGTCATCTTATGATCATGACTCACTGTCACCACTAGATCCTCGTGAGACCGAACTACGAGTAATTGCATTTCCCCTATGTTGTACCTATTAACCTTTGAATTCCACACACTTTACCGCGTTGATAGGCATCAGCCACTCTTTAGACCAGTTAATCATATTATTTAAGTCTGCCTGAAGAGCACATGCGTCTGTGTCTCCAGTTACTACTCTCCAGAACTTTATATCGTCAACGTACAGTAGCATTAGAGACTATGCTATACTTGGAAGACCATTAACATAAATTATAGAAAGCAAAGGACCTAGAACGGAACCTTGAGATACTCCACTAAGTACTGGTCTACAGATGGAGCACTTGGAATTTGTTCTTGCTTTCTGTCTACGACCTACTAGGAAATCCTTAATCCATTTTAAAAGAGATCCGGCAAAACCAGGATTTTTTAACTTCAGTAGCAGTCTATTTGTTGGCACCTTGTCAAAAGCCTTACTGAAGTCGATGTAGACAACATCTACTAAGTTTCCGCTGTCTATCACATTTATCCAAGGCTCCGTTGTTATAAGGTGATCTGTTATACAAAAAACCCTTAATGAGACCACGTCGTTCGCTGCTTAGTATGTTGTTAGTTTCCACAAATGTCGTTGTGGTCTTTTTGACTATTGTTTCCACTATTTCAACCACAACACTGGTGTGGGATAAGTTATTTGACGGACACTATTACCATGTGTGAAGTCCAAGGGAGACGACGAGTTTTGTTGGTCATATCTGGTAGGATCTCTAGTGTGTTGGAATAAACTTAGGGCGATAGGGGTTCCTAACACGTTGAAATCAAACGATGTTTCTGATGACCCTACTTCTAAGCTTACGCAGCGAATTTACGGTGCATTAAAGTCGCCTACTAATTCATTATCCTGCCATCTATATTTCGGCAACAGTTCATATGTCCATGAGTCAGGCGCACTTTCTCAACAGCTAATATAGTTAAGGTACTTTCCCTGTACAGGATAACCCCACCTCCCCTATGGTTTAATCAGTGAATCCTACTGGATGAGTAACCAGTCAACTGAATTTCATTATCGAACACTTCTGTCGCTAACCATGTTCCCGAGACAGCAATAATATCCTGTTTTTCTATATCAATCACTGTCTTGAGCTCCGTCATTTTATTTAGTAGGCTGCGAACATCTGTGTAGCACACATTTAATTCTGTGGAGAACTTCCTCTTACCACCCAGAGTGGTTTGAGGATCGTTTCGCTCCGAACATTCGCGATTTCAAAGCGATTAAGTACGGGGTTTACCTCACCATTTCGGCAGTGCTCATTTATTTCTACTTCTGCATTTCGTTTCTTAGTACGGCCAACCAGGCTGAGATCCTCATAGACGTAGATTCCGGATCCAAGTAGTTCGCATGAGTTTCACAGTGTCAGGTTGTTCTACTTTAACCGTAGCAAAGGTAACCTTTGAGAGGCAGCTTTTCTGAAATATGTCAGAATCTATCTCTTGTCCTATTCTATAAAGCTTACAGATGCTAACTCGTGAAACTGTTTCTGTGAGTAGCTTGCTTATTAAGGACTTGATATGACTGAGGTCGTGCTCAAATCTAGATTTGGTTTCGCTTCAGAAGATTCTCTTGACTTATGAAAAATGACTGACATCTAAGCGAGGTCCGTCTTAACATGTTGTGGAATTTTAGTTCCTGAAATCGTCTCCTCCATGCAATCAAATTCCAATTTAGTGTCAAACGCAGAATTTACATTCTGTTTTCTTACTTTTCTCTTCCTAGGTGTGATTGAGAGCCATTTAAAGGTGAAACTTCTGTAATCTTCCCTCAAAATTTAAAAACCAACAAAAGGATTTGCGGACATGAAGGTGTGGTATTGGATTGTTCAGAATTAGGTATATCTTGAGGCGCCTATTTTATTTCTCATTTAGTAATTTTCAGTGCATGTCTAAACCTAAGATTCATAAACCTGATGTTCCTTTACGCGCAATTCTGGATATGTCAAACTCACCATACCATTCAACAGCAAAATTATTAGTGAATTTATTAAAAGCATAGTACCAAGAACTGGTTAAGCATAGTGTTAAAGATGTCTTTGAATTTGTGGATACAATTAGAAATATGAGTATAAATGGCAAAACCATGCTATCACTAGACATAACATCTTTGTTCACTAACATCCCTCTGAATAAAACTATCGATTATATATGTGAACAGTTACTAGAAAAGAAAAGAAAGATACCGATCCCAGTACATAAAATAAAAGAACTTCTGTTGAAATGCACTATGAATATCTTATTTAAGTTTAACAATCAGTTTTTCAAACAAGTAGCCATTAAATTCATCAGCGTGGAAGAGAAAGACATCAATGAAGCTTACCTGGGTGTCCTACTGTCTAGAAGGATAGATGGTTCCATAAGACGAAATATATTTAGAAAGAATACATGGACGGGTCAGTATACCCATTTCCAAATCTTCACACCTTCATTACAAAATAAATCTGGTTAAATGTTTCAGCCACAGAATCAAGTTATTATGTTCCGAAGACGGTGTGGATGGCGAAATAGATATACTAAAGAACACATTACCAAATAATGACTATCCTGATAATTTCGTTAAAAAATACCTAATAGAAAGTACTAAAAAGAGGAACTTGTGACACAGTCAATAAAAAACCTTATATCTGAGACCAGACTTTAAAGGTAACATAGCGGGTGATATTTTAACACGTCGGTTCAAAAGATCTGTTGAAAGGACGTTTCACGCTGCCAAGCTACACATAATTTTCTCAACTAAACCAATACTCACACAACTAATCGAGTATAGGTTACCGATGATGGGCTCTTCCATGTGTGTATACCAATTCAACTGCTCCTGTGGAGCTAATTACATAGGCCATACTCAGAGCGCTTTATCCTTGCGTGTTTGTGAACATGTATCAGCATGCATGGGAAAAGGTGTCACTAAGTCGATCAGCAGCACTGTTTTTTCTCACTTTGAAGATAGTGAAAATCACATCAAAATAGGGGAAGCTTTCTCTGTTTTACATCAAGTTCCAAAATATCTACCTCAAGAAGCTATAATACGGTCGCTCTACATAGCCAAAGCTATCTGGATAAACTCCAGAAAACCAAACTTATATATCTAGAAAAGGTATATCCAGCCTCTACGTTTACCTTGGACCACGACTGGATCACCGGATATCTAGACCGAATATTGTAAACCTCTTAACCCCTTCCTTTTTTATTACTTTTATCTTAATCTTCACATCCATCATTCCCAATTCGTTTACCGTAACTACCTTGATAACACTCCCCTTGTTACATATGATATTCGCACAACAATATTATTATTATCTCAATTGACACGGTGAAATTTCTCCTACTATGCATTATATTCACACAATTTTTTACTTTTTATTTTTGCATTTTCATTTTTGCTATAATGCTCTGGGTGATCTTATCCGCAACGCAACCATGTAAACTTAATGTATCGCACGCTGTCATTTGTGCGTTCAAGTAACCACAGGTTTTGTCATTTCATAATGTATTTTTTATTAAATAACTAGATTATGTAGTTAATTTTTCTCTTTTTTTAATTTTTATTCGCCACGTCTGACTGCGTTACACTGTACGTCCATTGCACGCTGAGATGATGATGATGTCACAGGTATTCAGTGTTTGACAACGCTTCTACCAGTAACACCTTCTGATATATTTCGTTCCCGCCCAGAGAAATCAAAAGACAGAGTCGAGGAGATCGGAAGGGTATATTTGGCGATGACCAATATATCGGAATTCTCTGATCTAATCTGGCTAGCGATTGCGGTTGATGTTGAGCACGGCGTTACCACACGTGATCTGGTGCGGATGCCTGACCGAGCGCCTTCAGCTAGGTGAGTCCACTAAAACATATGGTCAGCATCCAATGTCGAAAACTTAGTGCTATTTATTTTGGGGATTTATTTACCGCTACAGATCACTCCCCCCCTAGTGGGGCAGTGACGACCCTAAGA